TTATCTGAAATTGCTGTACTTTTAACTGCTTTATGCAGCCAAATTTCAAAATTAGATGATATGCCCGAAAATAGATTTGCTGCTGTGATGACAAGTAGTAAGCAGCTTCTTGATATTCTTAATTCTATGGGAATTACTGGTCAGTCTTCATTTAGGTATATCTTGCCTTTAAATATTTATAAAATTGTCTGAATGAACATTTGAAACCCACATTTTACTTGTAATTCTAATCTGTTTAGTTCGGACATAAGGTCAGAAAGTACACGACCAGTTAGAACAAATAACGGAATGGACGAGATATATCGTGATTTAGAAAGTGTTGAGGAACCAGTAAAAGGTCATGCATTGATTCTTCTTGCCCGTCTGGTAAGGAAGCGTAATAAGGCTGCATTGGAAAGGATAGAAAAAGACCCAGATATTATGAAAAAAATTCTTAGTAAGTCATTTCAGTTTTCTTCTCCAAAGAGGGTTGATTTAAATGTATTATAATTTGTTAATGCTTCTTCTGCGCATCGAAAATTTTAAGAGCAATTGGTTAACTGTGATTCATACGTGTATTTGGCTGCCATAAATGCTATGGCTGAACTTGCGTATTGGAAAAAACAATATTTTAATATGGTTGTTGAGTTCTTCGTAAATCCAGTCAGTACGCTGCAGGATGTTGCTGCAGAAGAAGGTAACTTTGAAATGGATAAATTGACTTCTTTAAAGAACGGGATATTTGATGGAGATATTGTTAAATGAACTTATATGTTACAGACGTCATTTTTTGCTTAACAAAATTCAAGATGTCTAATAACTGTTATGGAATATATCCTTTTGGCACATATTTACTCACATGTTTGAAACTTTTTATCTAATAAATTTGCAGGTCCGGATTTTTTAAATGCTAAAAAAAAAGACTTCCTTGTCATACAACGTGTTAAAGTTGGTGAGGCACTAGCAAAAGTTTGTCGAGCGTTAGGTACTTTAAAACTTTTGTTGTAAAAAATGTTTTATGTATTTGCTTCGTTGCTTTTTCTAACATTGGTATCTATGTTTTCATCTTCGTGAGCTTATTTAATTCTGCCCTAATATTTTCTTTGTGCATTACTTTATAACGGTTTTAGGTGATATGGCACCATGGCATTTTGAACGTTTGATTGACCCTTTACTCTTCATGGTTAAACACACTCGTGATACACATCTGAAGGCTTCTTGCGTTAGTGCTCTTGCAGATTTGGTCTTAGCATGTAAAGGACGGGGATTTCATAATGTTCTGAACGAAGTCAGTCTACCGCTTAATTCTAAAAGATTTTTTGTCATGAACTGTCCTAATGGTTACTGTTTTTTTTTGTGGCTTGAACTAAATAAACTGAAATTTCTAGTTGCTGTCTATGATCCAAGGTTATTTAAATGGTGGTCGTGGACCAATACTTCGTCGTGCGTGCATGACTTTGCTGCGGTCGCTAATAGTATCCTTTGACACTTCGCTGATAGCGGTATTTATTTCGTTCTTTCTGTAAGTTAAATACACTCATTTCGAATCTTAAACTAACCCGCTTAAAGGGCCTCTCGGCACAGCTGCTTGACATCCATCGGTTGTTAAGGCGTTCGCTTCTAGCTGATGAAGATGAAGGAATCAGGTTGCTTGCTGAACTTTGTCTAATTGATATAAAAGAGCAACTGAATGCACCTGTGGATGAAATGGACGAGATGAGACTGAGGAAAATACGTATTCAATGAACAGCGTTTTTGCTTTTCCAAATTGGAAATTTGTATTCATTATCCTTGAGGATTATGTTATTAATTTAAAAGGAAGGAAGCTTTTTTATATGAAAGCTGTTTTTGAGTCAAGGTGACTGTTAATTATTCTCTTGCCAAATATGGTTTTAACTTACTTTTTCGAAATTTAAAGGGTACATCTGAATCAGCTCTGTTCTGTGGCTATTACTATAATTTTGCTGTGTAACGCGCAGCTGAAGGTGCAATTACGTATAAGTTCCAGTCTAAGAATGCTGCAAAGCAGAAAGTGGATGGAAAACTACGGTTCAAAAACATAAGAAATTACGTTATTACAACATAATTCAACGTTTCTGACAAAAAAACTACCTATCGTAACAGAATATATTCTAACATTATGTACCATTTGTTCTAGGGGATTCGGCACATGTGCAATTTTTTGCAATTTCTTTTCAAATAAAAATCGTAACTGTTATCTGAGTTTAGTCTTTGTGTATAGTATTCTCTGATACGCGGTAATAAAAGATTCACTTTCGGTTTCATTCACACATCATAATTTAATCACTTTAGACCTGTCAAGAATATGTGTATTTGCATTGGTTACAATGAAGTAATGACACTGGCGACTTGTTGTTGTGTTGCATTTCTTTGGTTGGTTGGTTTAATTGATTTTGCATTAGCGGAGTCAGCTTACTGGGTTGGACTGCGCGATTTTGCTAGAAATACAGTTAAGGAGTTTTGATTATTTGAAATGCCTTACACAAATTGAGTGTTATAGTCTGAACTTCTGCAGGGATTTTATCTGCCGTTGTTATGAACCTAAGGTTTTTTTTATTATGCGGCTGTATAAATTGGTTATAACACTGTTTTCTGCAGCTAACGGTTAATTTTTTTGTGTTTAGGCTGTTGGTTGTTTCTATACCAAAGTAGTTTCTAAAATTCGTACTTTTTTTTCTAACCCAGTCAGTTCCTACCAATAAATCTAATTTTGTTTGTAAGGTTAAAAATGTTCTCTTAATTGGTATTCCAAAAAGCAGCAAAATTAGATGCACTGGAAGGGGAACGAATGTATCTGTGTCTAAATGCTGATTTATTACAGGAACTGTAATATTTCAGGTTCTCATTTCATTAGGTGAAGTTTCGGTTTAAGTTTAATTTTTAATCACTGTTTACAGCGAATGAAGCCTACTAGAAATTTCACAGTGAATGTAAGCTGAAATAAGAGGTAAAATGCTCATATAAGTTTAACCATGAACAGCGGCAGAAGCTAAACAATTGAAAGGCGGTAGGAGCGTTTGTTACTTGAGTAATGAATTTACTGTAATAAATTAGTCACGTACCGAAAAGAACTCAAATAAATTTTTACTTAGTGGGCAATGGTGAGCACCGCTTTTTATGGCCTTCAGATGCTGTAAAGATTCATTCAAACATCAAAAACGCGGTAATATTCTAAGTAATCTTGTGCTGATAATCGTTCTTGTCTAGGCAGTCTTTTTTCGTTATAATAGCAGCTGATGCCACTCACCGTTGCTTCATTTGTTTATTTTTAGCCATTTGGTCAGAATCATAAATTATGCAGCTATTATAATATCAGTTTAAGGTCCTGCGTGAGCTTGGCATATCTTGATAAAATTTCATCTGTTTTCAGGCTTTCAATTACTATGCCCTGATAGCAACCAAGATATATCTAAAGAGAAGATTCTTTTGGCTGTCAACTATTCTTGTTCAACATTAGAAAAAGTAAATAAATTTTTTTGTTTTCATCAAAAATTAGTTTCAGTGACTATTTCTTCGTTTATTTATTTTTTCGTTTTGTGAAATACTGTTTGATTTTCAATTGTCTTTGTAATTTTTCAGGGAATCATGATAAATTTGTTAAGAATTCTGTAATCAAGTGAATGCAGTTAGAGCGTAATTATTAATTAGAGTTTTTTAGGTTGGTAAAATGGGGCCATTTAGCAAGTTCAAATCATACTGTGATTTAATAAATGGCAATATTTTATTACTGGAGGGTTTAAAAGAATTGCCTTATGTTAACGGTAAATTCATTTTTGCTTCTTATCTTTTTTTGATGTTCAACTTGTAAGAAATACTGTTGAAATTTTATTATTCTATGTCATGCATTAACTTAAAAAACCATCTTCTACCCAACTGGGAATTACTAGAAGCGAAGTCTGATTGTTCATCTGTCTCTTAGATAGTGATATCTACCAGAAGAATTCTACGCGATTTCTTCAAATATCATAGGCATAATGTCTTTTTTTGTGAATTTAGACGTTTTACAAAAAAGTGGCATATACAGTACATTGGTAATGCTACCTGTGGGTGGAACTGATCTGCTTCTGCTAAGGAAAAAGAAATACAAAATTTTAAACTTGGACTGTACTACTAGGGCTTTTAAACTTAAAAACGGGATTATTTTGGAAGGATATCCTGGCGAGTGTTTCTTTTTAAAATGTGGACGAAAAAGAAGTTTGGTTTAATACTTTTTTATGAAATTTTTTTGCAACTTATATCCTAATTAACTCATTGTAGCTTCTAGGTCAGGCACAATCTTGCAAAAAAATGATTTTTTATGCTTGAGTGGCATTTAAGCGAAGTAACTTATGTTCCGGATTAGAGTTTACTTTAAAAAACAGGTTTGATTTGCAAACTGGATAACTTGGAGTGCTAAAGGAGAAGGGAGATTAAATAATCAGGACAAAATGGAATAAAAATGATGTGAAAATACTCTTTTCTTGACAGCTTATTAGAAAACAGGAAACAGGTTTTTACACTGTGATAATTGTTTTTCTCTCAAAGGCAATAAAATTTACAATAGCATTTACAGCTGTTTTTTGCAAGGTAAATTTTTCTAGACAAATTATTCATTGTTTTGCGAAAATCTCAGGTCTTTAATATGTCGCATGCACATGGCAGGAAATTCTGATGTTAAGGTGTTTTCTAATTTGTGCACTGACTGGAGGAGCTATAATGACAATTACACATTTGCATAAAACTACATTTTTTCAGGTTTTTTAATACCAAAGATACCTTGTACCGAGCTGGGAGCTAACTACCTAACTTGTACACAACCTGTAGGTTTTCCCTGGCAAAATTTACTATTTTTGCGTTAGAAATGGATATTTTAAATTTATTTATCTGAAGCATTCGAATTTTAAATCATGATTTTGTGCACTTCTCAGCGAGGTATGGAACAGCAAGAACTGTGTTATAGTATTAACCCGGAAGCTGCTGTATAGTAAAACATTATAAAAAAATAACTTCGAATTTTTCAGACGGAAGAAACGGAAGTAATTGGAGAGGCATACACAATTGCTTTCAATGGTAAATTGCAGTCAAAATTGTTGAATCTTTAATTAATGAAAAATAGAAATTATAATTATTAAGAATTCCTGTTTTGTGATAAAAATTTGGTTTTCTTTTGCGTCACACTTATAACCTGGCTTGGAGCTTTAAAGTGTTAACAATGCTATCGCTTCTATTTTCGTTTTCATCATAGACAAAATAATATGTCTTGAGGTGTTTTCAGAGACAAATTCCTTTTATTACGACGAGTTCATTGGTAAGATAGCTGGTTATTTTAGGCCTTATATTAGATAATCACAACCATAAAGTTCGGTATATTACTTCAAAGGCTTCTTCCGCAATAGTAGTCTATAACTCTATTTAGAAGAAAACGCGAGTAGGGCCATAAGAAGCCTTCTAGATCAAGGCTTCTTACAACAAGTTTGTCATTTCTATTTACTTCTTCTTATTAATATAGAATTAAACATATAACATAAATGAAGTAAATTTTTCTGACAATAGTCTATTCTATCTGAATAGAGTTGTTTTAGTTTGTTTTTCCACTGAACTCAGCGATGGTTATTGAGAACCTGATAAATGAATTACTAAAAAGCCGTTAACTTATTCCCGAAGCAGAACACTACTTTAAGTGTTCAGTTTTTCTTTCAGTAAACTTTCAACGAAAGTCTAGGAGTGACGCACAGTAGAATTCTTGATTTTAATGAGCTACAATAAGTCCAAAGTTTGCTTTATTAAACTTTTGAAATTTGACTATATAATGAAACCCGCAGCTAGTGGAGTTTTGAAGAAATCAGCAACAAAAATGACAAAATGAAATCGTATAGTTCTTATTTTGTTTCTCAGTGTTTCTCGATCAGTACTATTGCAGAAGAATTACGATCTTTAGTCCAGAACCTTATATATAAGTTTAAATATCTTTAAGCGAGATAGGATGACCACAGAATTATATCATCTTTTTATCCAAGCATAAGTACTTTGAAAACTACCTTTTTTCACCGGTTAATGAAAAATCATCTTTCAAGGCATTTTTTTTAAAAATTCTTTCAATTTTTTTTGGTTTATCTTTTTTTTATCTGTACTAATTGTTATACGCAGTTATGTTTTGACTGGGTAATGTATTAACTAGTTGACGTAGCTCTTCAGTCGTAACAGGAAAAAATTTTTTAAATTTGAGTACCTTTTTAAATTTCACTCTATGTGAATGACTGTATTTCAGTTTCCTCTTTTTGGACAAGGTAAGGACTTCTTTAAAAATTGTTTTTCAAATTCATTGAAAGCGTACGGAAGCTTAGCTCTTATTCCTTTATCTGTTTATTGTCTAAATAAAAAAATTTCAGTAAATTTTTTTTTTCAATATGAATTTCGAATACTGATTTGGTGATTTTAAAAATAAAGAAATTTTTTTGTACGGATGAGAAGCGGGATGGGACTTTTTATAAAACATTTTTAAACCTAGAAAAATAGTTTCAATGAAGAAATTACACAAAATTTAGGCTTGCTGAAGATACACAATGATTACAGCACCATTTAACTTTACCAGAGTATCTTAATACTGAAGGCTGCAATAAAGTGAACAAAAAACAATAGTGATTTGACTCTTTAGTAAGGTTTGCGGGTTTCGTAGACATATATATCACTAATGCATGTGGAACTAAAATTTACGAGCTTTTTTCGTTAAAAACTGGCTGTTATTTGGAGTGTTTTTTGAAGAGTTGCAAAAAAATTTGAAGTTTGATTTATTAAACTTTAAAAAAACCGTTTAAAATTCGTTTCTTTCCAAATATGCAGTTTTAGAATCTCATTAAGCCAATTAAAGTTGTCGTTTATAAACGGTATGCGAAACATTACCAAAACATTTGCGTTGTGTTGAGTGCAATTTTGAACAGAAATGAGCTGGTGTGGAAATTTTTTTGATAGCTGAGAAGGATTAGTAAGGAGGTTTTGCAGTACTTCGGTTTAATTTTCACTGGGAAGATTTCAATGTTATTTTTTGCGGTGTTAGTCGGAATAATTAGGTTATTGTTTTTTGAATGTAACAGCTTAGCTTTTTTATGTATAGGATATCCTCCTCTTAAGCAGACACAAACTTCTACAGTTGTTTTATCATATACAAAATTCTCTTTGTAAATAAATATCTTAATTTTAGTTCTACTGGAATGGAAACGAAACAGTAGCAGGAGTTCTTTAAGATTTTTATGAATAACAGTGACATTTAGCGTATATAGGTTAAATTTTCTCGCGAAATTTTAAGAAGCTGCATACTATGCGAATTAAATAGATTATTGTAAAAGGAAATTCCTTCTAATTGTAAACTGCAATTTTTTGGTGATTTTGGTTCTCATTTGTACTCATGTTTACAATCGTTTCCGCAGGGGGAGGAGCTGCGATCGGCTCATTGCTTGGAGGAGGGGGTGGCGGAATGATTGGTCAAGTAGTAGACAACTTGGCAGCACAGGTATGTTAGATGCTAGTCTAAATTTTTGTAAGTACGAATAGAAGTGACAATTCCTACTGCGGATGACGACATTATATGGTTTTGTTTGTCGTCTAGACTAGTTTTATAGAATATTGGAAATGAAGTGTCAAAATGATTTTCAAGTATCCAAAGGTATAAACTTAGATTCCGTATCTAAGTTAAGGTTTGAGCCATCATTTGTTTCTGTTTCGTTTCTTTTGGCTTTTCTTATTCTCTTAGCTTGTTGTAGTTTCAACTTATTTATGGTCGATCAACTAAATCTGAAAATATCTCAACAATTTTGGGACAGTTTTATCACAAAAAGGTGAATGAGTCAGTGTTTGTAAGGCAAGGTAAAATGTATTTTTAAAAGCCATACAAACAAGAAACTCTGCAACTAAAAATTTTCCAGTAACAGAAATTACTGTATTGTTACATGGCACCGTACACCAGTACCTGCGTGATCACCTATGTGTCAAGTAACCTTTTTATTCTAACAGTAAGCTGCCAGGTGAGACTTACTAAGTTTTTATTTCAGAAACAACCAGTAGAACCGGAAGAACCAGGTGCTTCTAATTTTTTTATTCAGGATTTACAATGGTTTCAGGTTAAGTGCTTTATTTTAGGCTAATGATAGTATATTTATTGGCAGTATCATTTAGACACAAGAAGAAATGCTTTCTGCCCCTATCTTAAATTCAAAGCAATTTTAAAAATAAAACTTTTCAAAATTTCTGAGTTGTACTGGTTCTGAGAACAGCGGTTTGAACTTATTCGAAAAAAAATTTTTGGTTTTTGTTTCTTACTTTTGTAGTTGTTACAGAAGTTTTTTCCTGCTTTTTTATAGTAAATCCCAAGGTTTTTTTCAGAAACGTTACGAAAAAGTGATGTTGCTCTATGGTTTTTCTACAATGCTTTTTCAACATTGTTAATAACGTCTTTCAAATTCAGTTGAGTGATGAACAGTAAAATTGGCAGTTTCTAGAATGGAACAATTATGAATTAGAACCTAAAAACTTATAGACCTTTACTAACCTCTTAACTTTGTCACTATTACTACATGAAACTGACCTAGCTATACCGGTAAAGAAAAATGAAAAAAGTATTAGCAGGTTATTATACCTCTTACCTTTGTGTAATCTTTTCAGAAAAGTGCAACAATCAAAACATATTTTCAGCCTATTCAAGGGAATTAAAAAAGTTTTGAAATTTCACTGAAGAGCACTGAAAGAGTTACTCAGCTCTCTTAGTATAAGTATTTAGGAACACGAAGTGTTATGCTGCTTGTTAACACCTTTTCTGTTACTCATCAAATCTCGAAAGACGTATTCTATGGAAATTATTTTATTTAAGATATCTCAAGTGTATTGAAATCATAAGTATAATAAATGTAGTACTTCATAATTTTAGATGAAAATTAGTGGAAAAAAAAAAAAGGAGAAAGAGAAAGTAGTATGAGTTTCTGAATAAAATTGTCGAAGGAAAATTCAATTTGTTGTGAACCATTTTTTTCTCCAAAGCAGTAATGGTTACATGTAAATTCGCTTTTCTGTTTATTTAAATGGGTTTTTTACCAAATTTTTTTGAAGCCAGTCTAGCTTTTTGAACACCTAATTACTTCCACTGAACCTAAAACAGAGGAGTCCAGGGGTAGTGTTTCTGTTTAGCTACCCATATTTTTGTATGCCTTTGGCTTGCAACCGTTGACTGAGACTTTATTAATTGTTTATTCCATGATAAAAATCCTAAATTATATTAGTCTTTGGTCATTTTATAGTTGGTAACCGCTAGAAAATACAGTAATTGTTGTAAAATCAGAAAGCTGAATGTTTTGAGACTACTTGAGAAGTAGACTTCCGAAAACAAGAAGTATTTTTTGATGCCGTTTTAAGCCTTTTTTTAAAACACAGGCTAAAAAATAGTTTACAAAATTGTCAACGTTAAATGCTTTGTTTCGAACCAAAATTCAGGCAATTTCTGGCTTTTTAATGAAATATTTCAAGTTTTCAACAAAAAGGAGCTGGTAAAAACATAAAATGAACAGGTAGTTACTATTAAATACAGCAAGTATTCTCAAGCACCGACTAAAGTTTATTTAGCAGGAGCAGGTGTTTATGTTATGGCGACTCTTTTCGTCGTAGCGCTGTTGCTATCTTGCCTTGGTGGTTTCTATTTCCTATGGAAGAAACAAGAAGCCAAGCTATCTGCTGGTAATATGCCACTACCAAAAGGTAGAAGTTTTGGCCCACCAGTCGTTCAGCCGTATGGGCAGCAGTTTGGTCAGCAGTTCGGTCAGCAGTTCGGTCAGCAATTCGGTCAGCAATTCGGTCAGCAATTCGGTCAGCAACCCGGTGAACAGTATGGTCAGCAATATGGTCAACCACTACCACTCAGTATGGGAACCGATCAGTACTACAGTGGGATTTATGACCAACAGTACAATCAAACTTACCAATTTGAGTATGCTCCGACAGGTTATTACTAAATATAAAGATGAGTTGTAAAAAAATCTTTTGAAATTACCAGTTTTGGTAATTTTAATTGATTTGGGCTTTGTTGATCGTTATACTTTGTTGGAGAAAAAAAGGTGAAATAAGACATACGTCAGAATTGAAAAGTTGGGTTTAGAACAAAATTTGTTGATTTATTACGCATTTGAGACGCTGAACAATATTCGCAGGTTTGCTTTTTGGATGTCATTATCAGTTCTGTGTTGAGATTTCTCTGAGTGCTTTAACGTAACTAAATTTTGGTCTTATTTGCTTCAACCAATAAATGTTGAAAAACTTTATCACCTTGTCTGACTAATTACTCGTTGTGGTACCAATGTTGAACTGGGCAGAAATTACTTTTCTGCTTAAAATTTTCTTTGTACATTTCTGCGTTTATGCTGCTAACCTTATTATTGTTAATTTACTGCTGAGAAGTACGACCAAAAAGAACAAGGCAATATTTATTTCAACGGAAGGTACCGTTAATAAAAAAAAACTAGGAGTTTTTTTTGAATCTTATAAATTCCAAAAACCAGTAGCTTCCAATACTTATTTTTTAATTAAATTTTCCTCTACAAGAAGCTGTTCTGTTTGTTACTCCGTATTTATTACTGTGATTGTCATTTAAAAACTTCAATTCATGTGAGAAAAATTTAGCTTCTGTTAACTCATCACACTTGCCCATCGTTAAGATTTAATCATGACGAATTAAAAAGAAGCTCTCTACTAATTTTTACAGCAAATTCATCTTGGTTACCACACTTGAAACCTGCTCCTTTTACGTAGGAACTGTATTATGTTTCTCGACACGTTAATATATATTGCTTCAATTAATGTGTAATTAGTGTAGATCCTTAGTCTACAGTTCTAAACTCTAATTTTTTTCCACGATAGTAACCCACAGGTACTATATCGAAAAACTAAATTCTAAAACCTAAAGCGATTAGTTACATGGCATATTTTTTTTGGAAATATCCTTCTTATTAGGAAAAAATGTATAACTCTAAAAAAGCCTTTGACAGGGTTTTGCAGCGTCACCTCAACAGAGTTCATAAGATGTTTCAGTTCCTGCAAATTTAACGAAAATGAAGATAAATTCTTAGATAAAATTGTGATTTTTACGCAGTAAGTGTCTAAAACCTTCTCTTCTTTTTGACGTGGTGAAATGCAGATTCCAATTTTAGTGCAACATTCATTGACAAAATCTTGTACATTTATCGAACTTTTGTGCAAGAGAAAGAGAGATTTTTGGGCTGTTGCAAGCTCTATGTCTTGCTTAACCTTTCTATTCTTCTGCTTTTGAAGGAATTTCTGATCAGACTTGTTGCATTTCATCGGCGGCAAAACACCAGCGCTAAGGGAGAAGTTTGAGACCGTATTTTCAATAAATTATGTGCGAACGTGTATGATCGCGCTGCCAAATAAGTTTACACTTCTGTTATAATAAATTCGCCTTCCGGTGACGCATCTGCTTTCTGATATGAATGAATCCTTGTTTTCAGTCATACGGCATATAATATCATTTGTACCAATCGGTTTTGTCAGGCAAGGAGAAGAACTCCAATCTGCCTTTATTAAAAGTTGGGCAAGTGCAGTGAAATTACTGGTAACTTAGCTATCTTTTACTCATTTACTAGGGTACTACGAGGGAAATTACGCTGTGTACGGGAATGATTTAGTGGAAAGTAATAATATGACCGTAATATTATTCTGAATAGTTCTTGTTATTTACTGAATGCATCCAACAGCTTTCATGATTTAAGACTCCGTCTTCTTCCTGAAAACTACGGAGGATGAAAAAGAATGCTGTATGTGCTACGAAAGCAGAAGATCATTATGCAACTAGATTTAAGAATTAAAACGCCTTTAGTTGCATTACCGATGGGTACTGGAGAATTTAGAATTATTAATTGTTGCCAATGGAAAGCAAGCTAAGAATTATTGACTATTCCCAGTGTATCGACTGTCATCGCTTTCCGTGTACCTTTTTTTAAAAAAAAAATAATAAATGTCGACTACGGGCAGAGTTACAACTATTTAAAGCATTCCAATCTACATATAAAATTTTGTACTTATTTCCACTTTACCTGCGAGTAGCACTTTTGGAGCTTTAAGAAGCTTAAGTATACTTTGTCTAATTATGAAGCTTAAATATAGCGTAAATGCTTACTAGCGCTATGTACTGGAATGTCAAATTTAGACAATACTTGAATGGTAGCGAAGACGATATTGAAGAATAAGGCATAAAACCTGAACGGCCCGATACGGTTTTTTGCCGAAACGCGTCCACTTTAGTATTAAGCTGTTTTGGGCACAATTTTGGCTCCCAAACAGAAAAAGGCATTCAAACGTTGACATTGGACTTGGGCCAAAGCAATTTCGATCTAACGAGACGTCGCTTTCTTGTATATATTCCAGCAAAGTCATTTGCATCAATTTTTTCGTTTTCCAGCATTCTGGTTTTTTTAAACCTATCTTTCGTACGTCCATTTGCCCATCCATTTCGATTTAATGGTCATCTAGTTGAAACTTTAAGTCGAGAGGTTCTGAAGTATGTGGGAGTGGATGAAACACTTCTAGAATTAATGCAGTTTCTATCATTTTTCGTTGTACCTCATGAAGCATCATTTTTGTTTCCTTATACCATTACCAGTTACCGGTTATTCTGTTGCTTAAATTTAGAGCATACTTTAAAAAGCGTCGTACTAGACCTAATTAATTGCTTATAATATCAAAAGGTTTAAATTTTTATTTTTTTTTTATTTTTTTTATTTTTTTTTTGTCTTTTTTCAGTCACATTTCTAACTAGCCTTTGTCTTAGGTATTGTTCAACATTAAATTTTTAGCGTCTGTTGACATTGTGGCAACTTTCAAGGGGGGTTCTGGAGCATAAAAAGTAACACTTGAGAAGCTTTTCAGTTTGGCTACTCTGTTAAGTTTTTTTACATGTTCATTCCAGCAACGACACTTTCTTTAGCATTTTTAAATTTGTCCTCTTTCTTCCTGCACGTCATATTTGGTGGCTTCCATAATCGCATACCAGAATCTTTGAAAACGGTTACACTTCGTTTTTTTTTTTTACATTCTGTTTGTATTTTTAGTACTGAGTAGTGAAGAACACGGCCTGCTGGATTACATTATTTATTAGTTTACACGTTTTACCAGAACTTTAAAGTGATGTCAAAAACTAGAGACGGTAAGCTCATCATGTTTTTTCTGCTTTTTTTTTTTCACGGTTTTGCTCGTATTAGTTTGGAATCTGCACTTTTCTATGGACATTTGTGCTAAATTTAAAAATAAATGAGCAAGTGAGAGCGTTTCAAAATTTGACCGGCTGTATTTATAAACTTTTTGAACTGGCTTTATTTTTTTCAGACCTTGAAGCCCAAATCGCTCAGATCCAGTCTCGTAAGCGCCGTTTAGAAGACGGGGAGAACTCGGAGAATGGTGTAGGGAATGAAAACTCAGTAGAAAAGATAGCCTTTGGTTCAGTTGGTGGATATGATACGGCAAGAGTTTATTTTTAATACGTGTTTTTTAAATGTTTTTCAATGCTTCAAGCCGTTACCGCGCTTCTCGATAGAAATTCTTTTATTGTTTGGTCTTTATTTTACGTTAGCTCTAGTCGGAATAATGATCTCTGTCTTGCACACTTATGTAAGAAAATTTTTGTTTTGGGATTTAGGATGTTTACGGTAGTGTTAGGGGAGATCGAAGTAAAGGTGATTATTTGACCTCAATCAATACTGGAGATGAAGAAGATGAAGGCGACGATGACGCTTTGGCCTCAGTGACTGCAGTTAAGACAACATATTCAGCGCCGAAGCGGTTTATTGAAGAAGCTGCTCGACATGCGAAGGTTTCTTATTATTTTTTCTGCAGGTTATTGGATCAATGGTTACTTTTTCGTAAATTTATTGTTAAGATGCTTTGGTTCTGAACCAGCTATTTTAAGGACGACGATCCGTTTGCTGAAACGCGAACGAAAACCATTGCGGAGAGGCAGAGTAATTATCAACTACGTGCTCGGCAGAGGCAAATATCGCCGGAACGAGCTGATATGTTTGGTTAATTTTTTGGGAGATATTTATTGTTTATAACATCTTTTTATGATATTTAGCAACTGAATTTAATTGCAAGTCAATTTTCAGCTGATCAGACCCCTGATGTACGTGACAGATCTTACGCTCAAATCATGAAGGAACAAATGTTACGTGAAGAAACAGTTAGTTTTTAGTTGTTTGAAGCTTTTCTTTGTTTTCTCTGTCAAATGCTTTTGTGAAATCTAGTTGCATATTTATTCATTTATTTTTTGTAGAGTAAGGTAGAAAAAGAACTCGCTGATAAAGCAAAATCTGGTGAACTTAAACCTTCAAAGCCACTGGCTCCGGTACAGAAAAAGGGCAGATGGGACGAGACACCAAAAACTGAGGTGCTTGGTGCTGGTGCTATGACACCGTCGTCTCAGACGCCCGGGACGACTCAGCGGAAACGTTTGGGCATATCGTCGACAATTTCGGCTGCAGCTGAGGTTTATTAAAATTCCGAAACATAATATTTGTTACAGTTACTACTCATAAGGTTTAATGGTTTCTGTCAAACCTTTAACTGTTGTGATGAGGTGACGCTTTGCTAGGTGGCAACTCCTCGTGTGGCACGTTGGGAGGAAACGCCTGCTCATCTTTCTGGAGTTGATGCTACACCTGCGTCTGGAGCAAAAGCCTGGGATGCTACACCTACAACTCAGACTCCAAGGCGCAACCGATGGGATGAAACTCCGAGGGGTAAGTTCCTTCACGTTTGAAATGGTGATACTTGGCCTGCAACTTCGAGTTTCTGTAGAGTCTGTTCGCGACGGCATGACACCAGCAGGAATGACTCCGGGATGGGGCGCAGAAACTCCAAGAGACACACGTGTAGCAGAAGATGTGAAGGTTTACATTAATGATATCGAAGTAAAAAATTTTTTTTGCTTTATTTTTTCAAAATTTGGGATGCTTAGGTTGAGGAGACGCCAGGAGAATCAAAACGAAGATCAAGATGGGATCTAACTCCTTCAGCTGCGACACCCCTCAATGCTGCTGCATCAACTCCATCTTCTCAGCTGATTGGTGGTACAACTCCATCAGGTTTTACTCCAAGTGCTGCCACGCCTGGTGGGATGACTCCTTCTATAATGACGCCTGGAGGAGTTACTCCAGTTGGAGCTCTTGCTATGGGGTTGAAAACTCCTGCAATGCCAGTGATGCCTATGACTCCAGATCAAATGGCAGTTTTCAAGTGGGAGAGAGAGATCGACGAAAGAAATCGGTCAATTGGTTATCACATTAATTCTAGCAGAATTAGCGTGCTTTTGAAACGGCGTGGTATTTTTTATTTTTAACTTCAATTTTAGGCCTCTCTCCGATGAAGAACTGGACGCTTTGTTTCCTCCAGGATATAAAATACTTCCTCCTCCTACAGGGTATATACCCATCCGTACTCCTGGGAGAAAGCTTCTGGCTACCCCGACGCCTATTGGTGCCACTGGCACTCCGATGGGTTTCATGATGCAGGGCACTCCAGAACGTCCTGGTTTAGCAGACAAAGGTACCTTCAGAATATATAGCTCGTGTATTGTGAAATAACTTATCTACAGATTGTTATTTTAAAATTTACTAATTTTTTTGTGTTTTATTTTTAATTAATCGCTTTTTAAGGTATTGCTGGCCTCATTGACACACAACCAAAAAATACCGAATTGCCACCACTGAAGCCAGAAGATATGCAATATTTTGATAAATTATTGATGGATGTGGATGAAAGCACGCTTAATAAAGAGGAACTAGCGGAAAGGGAAATCATGACATATTTGCTTAAAATTAAAAATGGCACTCCTCCGCAACGAAAATCTGGTCTGCGTAAAATCACAGAAAATGCACGTAGATTTGGTGCTGGAGCACTTTTCAATCAGATCCTACCCTTGTTAATGTCTCCAACATTGGAAGATCAGGAGAGGCATCTTATGGTTAAGGTGTGTCACGAAATTTTTTAATTTTTTGTTGTTTGTCAATTGAAAAAGATTACTTTTTAAACGGAGTTACCCCGTGTCTGCAGATTTAAAAATTAGAAAATTTTTAAAAAGCGAAAGAATTTTCCTGTAGGTAATTGATCGAGTTCTGTATAAACTGGATGATCTTGTGAGGCCTTATGTGCATAAGATTCTTGTCGTCATTGAGCCTCTGCTGATTGATGAAGATTATTACGCTCGAGTTGAGGGAAGGGAAATAATATCGAATTTGGCAAAGGCAGCTGGTATTTTTATTTGATCAATGCTATTACTTTAGGTGAGAAAATTTCTTTTTCAGCTATGATATTTAATTGGTTTTGAGGCCTAGCAACTATGATTTCTACTATGCGTCCCGATATTGATAACGTTGACGAGTACGTTCGAAATACAACTGCACGTGCCTTTGCTGTCGTTGCTTCTGCGTTGGGTATACCAGCCCTGCTCCCGTTCCTAAAGGCAGTTTGCAAAAGCAAGAAGAGCTGGCAAGCAAGACATACAGGCAAATATTTATAGCGTTTGTTATTGTTTATTACGGAGGTTTTTTGATTGTTGTATTATCCACCTAGCTTCTTTAAGGCATCAAAATTGTACAACAGATGGCTATTCTTATGGGTTGCGCAGTTCTTCCGCATCTTCGTTCTCTTGTAGAGATTGTTGAAACTGGCTTGGTCGACGATCAGCAAAAGGTATTACTGGTGTTACCAACTTTTTTCCTTTATTTTGTAGTCTGGTTTAAAGCGGTCTTTTCCTGATTTGATTTTTAAAAGTGAGTCGAAGTAACGTTATATCTGTTTTAGGTGCGCACTATTACTGCTCTTTGTCTGGCTGCCCTGGCAGAAGCCGCAACTCCTTATGGTATCGAAGCTTTTGACTCTGTTCTAAAACCGCTTTGGAAAGGCATCCGGTCGCATAGAGGGAAGGTAGGATTTTAGAATTTACTGCTTTTTTTTTCGTGGTTGCAGTAAAAAATTTATTTAGGGTTTGGCTGCTTTTTTGAAAGCAATTGGTTTTCTAATTCCTTTGATGGACGCTGAATATGCATCTTACTATACTCAAGAAGTTATGCTTATTTTGATAAGGGAGTTTGCATCACCGGATGAAGAGATGAAAAAAATAGTTCTGAAGGTAACAGATTCGAGTAAAATATTCCTTATGGTATTTAAAGTTACTATTCCATTTTTTATTAGGTCAGCTGGTTTATTAGGTTGTTTACGGGTGGCTGACATTAAAGCTTGACCTATTGTTGTAGAATAATAAGCTAATTTATTTTTTTCTGTATTTATTTTTATTTCTTCGTTTCTTAGGGGTTTTGTTTTAGGTTGTCAAGCAATGCTGCGCTACTGATGGTGTAGAGCCTCAGTATATTCGTGACGAAATCCTCACACCGTTCTTTAAAGCTTTCTGGAATCACCGCATGGCACTTGACAGAAGGAATTATAGACAATTGGTAGACACAACAGTAGAAATGGCGCAAAAAGTAAACTTACTATTGTTATATGTTTTAAATTCCTCAGTGTTCAGTTTTTCAAGCGATTTATGTACGTTATCACGTATTATTTTTAGGTGGGAGCTGCAGAAATGATCGCTCGCATTGTTGATGATTTAAAAGATGAAAACGAAGTTTATCGAAAAATGGTTATGGAAACAATTGAAAATATTATCTCGTTAATGGGAGCGAATGATATTGATGCGAGGCTCGAAGAGCAGCTTATTGATGGCATTGTTTATGCTTTTCAGGAGCAAACGCAAGAGGTAATTTGTCAAATTGACACCCTTGCTAAAACCCGTTTTGCTTCATTATCAAGTAGATATTATTTTTAGGACGCTGTGATGTTGGACGGTTTTGGGACAGTATGCAAGGGTCTAGGACGGCGGACAAAACCTTATTTGCCTCAAATTATAGGTACAATACTGTGGCGTTTGAATAACAAGTCTGCGAAAGTTCGTCAACAAGCAGCTGATCTTGTTAGTTTTTATTTTCTTAGAGGCCCTGTGGAATGTTGTGGCATCATGTTTTTATGAATGCACTTTGCAGATTGCAAAGCTAGTACCAGTCATGAATATTTGTCAAGAAGAAAAGTTGACGGGTCATTTGGGTGTTGTACTATATGAATATCTTGGTGAAGAATATCCAGAAGTTCTTGGGTCAATTCTGGGTGCTTTGAAAGCTATTGTCAACGTTATTGGAATGACCAAAATGACTCCTCCTATAAAGGACTTGCTTCCGCGATTGACTCCTATTCTTAAAAACAGGTTCAGTGATTTGTGAAAGTTTGTTGTATTGCCGTAGAACTGGCAAGAGACTTCTGCTTAGTTCTGGCTTCTTAAATATAAACTTTTTAGGCACGAGAAAGTGCAAGAGAACTGCATAGACTTGGTTGGTCGTATTGCTGACAGGGGAAGCGAGTTTGTTTCGGCCCGCGAATGGATGCGAATATGCTTTGAGCTGTTGGAGTTACTGAAGGCCCACAAAAAATCAATAAGAAGAGCTGCTATCAACACATTTGGATATATAGCTAAAGTTGGTTTTCTGTTTTTTGGACTTTAGCTAAATTGTTGGAAGGGAGGGAGGAATGTAATGCTTTCGACTAGTGAAAAACAAAATTTTTTCTCAGTAAAGGCGAACGTGGTTTATTTACTGTACGTCTCAACCATTTGTTGCGCCCTTCCTGAGATTTTCTGTCTTGAGTGTTTCTAGGGCATGTCACATCTGTTGGGCATTTGTTCATTTATAATGGCGTCAATCACCTCTGCAAAAGGTAAGTTATTTCCGTTTGCTCTGCGCGCTAATGCAATACGAGACCGCTTGTTTGCCGTGTACCGTATTCAACTACCGTCATCAAATGAAGGCGTTGTGTTTACATCTTGGAAGTAAATGAGTTTGATCATAGATTTTTTTACTAGTGCAAAATTCTTGAATCAAAATGTCACTTTGCGGGTCTCATTTTTCAAAAATAGAAACGAGCTTTTGAGTCTCTTATAAGGCAGCGCAATGACAGGTTTTTTGTTTCGTTTTCTTTTTATTTTTGTTTTCTTCTTTATCTTTTGTTCTTTCTTTTGTCTTTGCTTAAAGGACTGCAAGCATCAAAAACAACTAAGTAAAGAATTTTAGTTGCTTGAAAGAAAGCAAAGTGGCATGCTGGAGGAGCTCCGGACTTGTGTATCTCTCTCTGTTCTTGGTTACTGGTTTATCAGGCATGCCGAAACACTCGTCATCGTTTTTTTATGAACAGGAATTAGAGAAATATAATGGTGTTTTAGGGTTTTTTGTGTTAAGATATGTGTAGTGGAGAATGGATGGTTGTAGAAAAGAATTTTTGGTGGTTTCAAAATATTTTGTTTTTCGAGCTTAAAAATTTTTTTCTTGTTTAATTTATTGTTTATTTAAATTCAGACTTTTAGAGGATTTTTGTCTGGAGTTTAACATATTCTTTTTTCTCTAAAGATATGGAGTGGTGTTTGGTTTTGTAATCGTAAGTGGGGTATAAGTGCTGCATTATGATAACTTTCACTACTTTTTAAGCTTCCTTTTTTAGGCCATCGGCCCACACGATGTCTTGGCCACTTTGCTGAATAATCTGAAAGTGCAGGAGCGTCAGTTGCGAGTCTGTACAACAGTAGCAATTGCAATTGTTGCCGAAACTTGTGCTCCGTTTACTGTTCTTCCGGCAATTATGAATGAGTATCGTGTTCCGGAAATCAATGTTCAGAATGGTGTTCTCAAAGCATTGTCTTTTATGTTTGAGGTAATGTTTTAAAAGTTGCATAGAATTTTTGGTCGTTTGAGTTTCTCATCATTATAGTTTTAACGTTTTACTTTTGCTTTCAGTACATTGGGGAAATGGCGAAAGATTACATATACGCAGTGACGCCATTGTTAGTTGATGCACTAATGGAGCGGTAGTTTTTCTTGGCATAAAAAAAATTTGTCACTTTCAACTTAATTGGCTGTTTTAATGCTTGATAAACACCATTTTTTTGCAAGCAGCTTTTAAGCAAGTTACTTTAGGGATATTGTTCATCGTCAAATCGCTATGGATGCAGTAGCTCATTTAACTCTTGGGGTTTATGGTTTCGGCTGTGAAGATGCGTTGATACACATTTTCAACTATGTTTGGCCCAACATGCTTGAAAATTCGCCGCATGTAATCCAAAGGTAGTTATAACTCTCTAGTGTCTTTTCGCGGTAGGAATTTCATCTTTTGTACGAGCCTTGAATGCTTTTTAGGTTTATTTTTGCTTGCGATGCTATGCGCGTGTCATTAGGACCCATAAAGGTGATGCAGTATTGTTTGCAAGCTCTGTGGCATCCTGCGAGAAAGGTTCGCGAACCTATATGGAAGGTAAAGGAATTTGAGAAGTCTCTCAATGTTAAACAGCTTCTTGCGATACTATCAAAACTTGTATTTTACTACGCTGAAAATGTTTTTTCTAAACTTTACATATTTCCAGGTTTTCAATAATTTGATACTCGGTTCTCAAGATGCACTGGTTGCTGGGTACCCAAGAATACCTAACACCGACAGAAACAACTTCATTAGATATGAGCTTGATTATGTTCTTTAAGGACTTTACGGCTTTTTCCAACTTATTTTTACTTATAAGTAACCGGGCTATAGCATGTGCAGAAATCAAAGATCTCGTTTTTACAGTTTTGCGCCTATTTTTAGTGCACTTTTCTTCTAATTTACCAAAAAAAGGAAGATCTTGAATTCACCTGTTCCTTAACATTCATATTTTTCGTGCTGGAAGAGTGTCATCTATTTTTGCTAAGCAATTCAATTAGAGGTAGTAAGAATTATTTTTGTTTTGTTGTTCTTCAAAGATGATTATAGAGGCAAAAGATGCCCTCATTCAGCGAGGTAGATTGTTCGGAACTGAAAGTACAAAGTGGAGACGGATACTTTTGAATAATGGTTTTTCATTATTATGTTAGCTCGAAATATGTAGATTCTATTTTTGGTTTCAGATTGTTTTTTGTTGACTTTGTCGATATTTTTGTGAATTGTTGTTGATTTGTATATTGCGCGTTTATTAAAGTGATGGAGGAAATCCAAAATGATTTGTTGTGTCATGTGGCACTGAAACAAAGCCTTTTTGCATGTTTTACAGTCCTCTTTATCTCTCCTGGATCAGTACCAGGAGGATATACCTGGATTGTTATTTAATAGGTTACGGAATTAAATTGATATTTTTATTTTTTTAGAGCAGGGTGTAGTTAGCTCTTATCTTTTTACATGTTGATAATTCGTTATTGCCGAATCAGGGCAGGTATAGTGAAAATTTAAAGCTTTCTTTTAGTTTCACGGCGAGTCAATGTCTTCAAGATGTTTTTAAGGGGTAGTCTGTGTCCGAGGAGTTTAGAGACTAGGTTGAGGTGATGCAGCATAAATACGACGTGATCCGAGGGGTAAAGAAGTATCTAAAAGTAGGGTAGGAAGTGTCCCTATTTGCTTGCAGGAGCGTTTACGTGCATAAGCACGATGAGAATTTTGACCATGTTGATGTTACTAAATGGTTGCACAGGGGGATCAGTTGTAGTTGGAACCAAATTTGTAACTGTTAAGTTAGTTTTCTCGTGTCGCTTGAGGTGTACTTCTGGCAATTTTTACCTTTGGTAATGTTTCATATCTATTTGGCTGTTTGAATTTGAAATTACTTAGAGTAGACTAGGAAAGTGAGTCCTAAAATGTAGTCGGTTTTATTTTTGTGATGTATGCAGAGTTTGTTTTATTGAAAGCGTTGTGTGAATAAAGGGTTGAACCTCCGAGTTTGAGGAGTGCACCACGTCTTATCATGCGTAGTAGGTCGACGATCAGTGATGGACAACCGTATGAATTTGATATCGGTCGTTTTTCGCCAGGCAGCGCGAGCAGTAGTTTTTACAGTATGCAGGAGGTACGTTTTTGAATTGCCGAAAGGCTAAGTGGTGAATGATATGCATAATGTTAACTAGTTATTGAAGTACTGAATTAACGAAATATTAAATCTCAAGGAAAGGGCGCCGAAGAGGCGATCTAGCGAGAAGTTTACTCTGCGTGCATTCCTTTTCGTGAAAGGTGATAAAAAATTTGGAAATATTGTATGCGACTGTGCTACGGTTAGCTTCTCAGAAGTATTGATTGTTTGGCTATGCTTTTCAATTGGAAAAATCTTAGTTGCATTTTGAACCTAAATTAAGAAAAAAATCTTATTTTTTTCTTGTTTTTGATACTTCATTTTCTCTTATTATGGTTTTTTTAGTCTAGTAAAGCTGTTAAAGGGCTGAGAGAAGGAGATGTTTTGCATGTTAATCCACTGGATGAAGGGCGAAGTTTTTATATTAAGCATACCACTGAAGATCATGATGCTGGAACTTACCGGGAACATAGGATCTACATTGAAAAGTCTATCGCCAATTATTTTGGAGTACCGCAAAATTCAGTTGTCGAAGTTTCTATAGTTGATAGAAGAGATGTAATAATTTCCAGCTTTTATGATTCCCTCAGAATTAAAAATTTATGCATAGTTTACTGTGAAATCTTTTACAGGTTGCGTTGGACAGCATTGAACTGTCGTTCAAGGAGCGTTATATGAGTAGGGCCGATATGTGGCGTTATCGTAATTGCTTAGTTGACAACTGCCTTTTTAAAAATAAAAAGTTGGAATGGTTAGGGGTCCCAACAACTGTCACTGATCAGTGGTTTAAGGGAGAAATGGTAGATTTTGTGCATCAGAGTTTCTAGAATTAGTGGTTTAACTGAAGTCTTTGATGTTTATAGAAGTTCATATAGTTGACACTTTGTGAGTAACATTTCAGGTCGAAAGTGGATATGTATCAGAAGATACTCGTGTAGTCTTCAGATCTTCTAGTTCATTAGTACCTTTTTTGATTGATTAAATAGTTTATCGGTTTTTTGGTTTTTGCGTCTTGATGTAAGTTTATTCGGGCTTACTTGTAATTGACGTAAGCTCAGTAGTCATAAGATTTTTGAAAAATTATTCTTTTTACTATTTTTTTAAGGTAAGTGTATATGTTCAAATAAGTTCGGAAATGTGGGATATGGACGTTTACGGCGATTTATATTTTGAAAAATGTGTGAACGGTTTTCTTCCTGAATTGTTTGAACGTTGGAAACATTACCATTGTGCGCATTATGTTTCATTTATAGTATGTTCAAGGTAAATTTGGCTTTCGCTAACAGAGTTCAGATTTTGTATGGCTTTTTGCAAAACCGGTTTAAGTTGTTTAGGTGGTATGTTACTGAGGAGTTACTGACCGAACACATGAAAACAAGCTTCTCCAAAGATCACCGAAACAGATATTATAAGGTAGTCTCTCTTAAATTATTAAATTAAGTTTTATGAAACTTTGAAGAGGAGAATTCTTGATGTTCTTGTCTTTTTAAATACCTTTCAGGACTTCTATCGCTTGCTTGTACAAAATGAACACTATGACGACTGGAGGCCGGTCCTCTCAAAGGTTTGCTTAAGTTTGCAGGTTTTCACCTCTCGCTACTTGTTTATTTATGTTTGTCCTCCTTTTTTCCCGATCTCATTTCCCCCTCTTATGAGTTTTGACCTGAAGAATGTATGTCGGTAAAGTGTAGAGGCTTTGTAAAACCCTTGCAGTTTTTGCTACTTCTTTTTTTCGTTTTCAATGAATCCTGCAATTTTACACTTTTATTAAGAAGTCCAGTTTGATAAAAGAGCGCATTGCCATTGAGATGAGAAGACGATATGATGCATATTTTTAAGATATAGGTTTTTCTACTTATAGATTTCAGAGATTTGTGTTACTAACATACACTGAAGAGGTGTATTTTACGTTCTTATTTGTTCCAGGCATAGCGCGAAACTTAGATTTTGTTTTACATCTGAAACTTTGAAGTATTCTCCAAGCCTATGAGGGACTTCTAGTTTTTATATATTACTGCAACCAGAGTTTTCATTCGGCGAGCTGAAAGTTTAAAGCCGGAATAAATAAAATTCCTGCAGATCTATATTACTAGTAAAGTTGCAAGACCTTTTAGGGGGAAGAGAGTGTATCGTGATTCTTTTAATGTTCTGGATGAGCTGCGACTAGCGGAGTTGCAGTTCTGCTGCTGCAGACTCGTCACTCAATTTTTCACTCGCATTTTGTAATTAAAATAATTGTGTATCTGTTATCTTTGCCTTTCAAATAGTTGGAAATTATTACACATTATTTTTTTTTGAATCTCTTAAGATTTCTTTTAATAATTATTTCTTCCTTTTTTAGCTTCGACTCGTTTTTTCCAGTTACAAGCAGTCCATTGAAAACTACTTCAAGCGGCAGTTTCCGGTTATCCTTTTATTATTTTTTTTTATCAGTGTGGAAGATTTTGATTTTGTTAGTGCATGTCAGATATCAATTAAAGGAAAACTAATTGTAAAGATGCAGATTTTTTTCTTATCATACAAAGTGTTTCAAAAGTTAGGATGGAACCTCTATTTTTCATTCATCTTCGGGAATTAAATTGTGCTTTTTCTTTCTTTCAACAGCTTATTTGCGAGGAGCAAGTAAGAAGAAATTATTCTTCAGAGGCAATAAAGAAACGTTTACGATGTTGTCTATTTTTATACTGTATTAGAGGAATATCACCTCAAAGAGCGAGTTTGTCTTTATAGCTCTTTTGAGATCTAGAACTGATTACTTAAATATCTCACGTTTGTAAAATGCTTATAAGTTCCTGGATGAAAAAAAATTTTTGGTCATTAATTTTAAGATTTCTTGAAAATTTAGTGAAACATAAGCGGGACAGAAAATTTTCATATTCATAATAACAGTTTACTATGATGGAATTACTGGCCAGGTGAATGGCTGCTTTTCCATGTTTTTTGGGTTATTTTGTAGAAACACGAAGTTGTTGACCTAAAACTAGTTTTCTGTAGCAAGACTATTTGAACTTTTAACTCCTCTGCAAGATTCAAGTTTTTTTCGTAACTTTAATTATAAAGTAGAGGATTGAAGCTACTTAGTTATTCGCAAATTCGGCTGTGACTTGCTTTGACAACGTCAAGATTTACCATGGGTCGGTATTTTCAGAAAACCATTTTTCTAAATGGAGAACTGCTTGACACTTAGAGAGTGCATGAAACGTTATTATGCTTGCGAAGAATCAGTGTTTTAATTTCAAATTACTGGGAGTGAAGGCATATAAAGCTCGAATTGACAGGTTTTAACGCTATTTCGAGAGCTGCTCATGTTTTTTGAATAAAATCTATAATTTTGAAGGATAAAGCCAGAAGACAGTACTTCTTGAGTTTTCTCTGCGTAAAATTCATTCTTTTATCTGCTTTTGTTAGAATGAAACGCATCTTTATTTCTGTGACCATCAGTATAGCTGTGATCTGTAGAAACAGAATTGGGACTTAGTTGTTTGAATCTCCGGCAAAGAGTGCAGTCAGACACTTGCCGATGTGTCTTCATAATTCGTGGGACGTTTAAATTCAAATTTGAAGACCTAGCTTAGATTGACGGTTTTTGCTGCCAGAAACGGACTTTGTGAAAAATATGAGTGTAGCTTCCTGATTCTGTTTTCTAGAACCAGTTTTTGTACAAGTGTAACGGACTTTTTTAAAGATGTTTGTCATGGCACCGCATTTTCGCTCATTCTTCACTTGGTGGATTGGGATTTGCGTCTTTCTTTATTCTCTCTTGTTTTGTGATTACGGTAGCTTATCTTGACAATGCCGGTGAATTGAAAGCCACTTGGTCTTCAGCGAGGAGCTTGTTTGTCGTGAAGTTCAAGTCCTGAAAGTTTTTTATTGTATTATGCGCTTTGATTTCCTTTTTAGTTTTACTTGCCTTTGAACTTTTTTGGCTTGGGGACTTGAATAGGTGTGGTTGAATATGAAATAATGTTTCTTTTACCTATAAATTGACTTTTCGTTATTAACGCCCCCATATTGATTAGGATGGATAAAGTAAAACTTTTGGGAAACAAAAAATTGGGACTCTGAAGGTTTTAAGTTACTGAACATAAGAAAGACAGATTTGGCTTTGAATGTGAGAAGATATTCCGGTGGTAAATTTTATACACTTTTACGCGGCAGCAGTGATAGCAAAGTGTGTAGGGAACAGAGTGGAAATGAACATCACGAAAAGAAGATTAACGGGGTGAGGAAGGTTTTTCAAGCGCTTGAAATTTGGCGTCCATGCGGGAGCGACTTGAATCTTGCCGAAAGGCTTGTCCAGACTGGTTGAGAAATACATCAGTTTTTGTTCCTGGCTACCTCTAAGTATTATAAAAATATGGTTTTGAAACCTTTTCAAATGTTTGTTTATGGCGTATAACCTGAGTTCCTTGGTTGATAGTCACTGCGTTTCTCTTTCGTTGCGCTGATTGTGAATTTACGCTTCTCTTTTGACCTTTGCCGGCAAGACTTCTGCACCAATTCCATAAATGTGATTTTCCTCGTCGTTTTAGGTAGCTTCTAAATATAGTGTTTCTCATGTTCTAGTTCTTTTAGATTTTGTTGATTCTTGGCGTCTTTCAGCTCTAGATCTTTCCAATCGTACGCTGTTGAATTTAGCTCTGAATGAAACAATTTTAAGTATGCTATCATTTCTCGTGAAGCAAGTAAAGCAAACAACGGACAAAGAATTGTTGCATGCTGGATCTGTTTAGTTGGATAACTTCTGGTTCGCGCTGGAGAATATTGAGACTGTCATGTTTAAAGTAGCATGGTCAAGTTTTTCATGCACTCTGTTTTTGATTCTGATGTTCACTCCATTATATAATTATCATTTCAAATGAAGAGTTTCATATTGAAGGAATGTTCGGGGTCTGCACCACTGGCTCAGATCTCAACAGCGGCGGATGGAAATTTTCTTCAGCTTCTGAATCTTTGTATGAATTCTTTCGAGATGTATTATAAGGATCGTAGATTTGAGACTACAGGAAGACAGGTATTATTTGAAAGAGAAGAAATTTTAGATTTTTTTGTTTTGTTTTGAACTCAAGTTAGTTGGCTTTTTAATGGTTTTTTTAAAGATAATTTATGTAACTGCTGGTGGTGGTGTTTTCAATGTTGATCGTTTGATGGTTAATTTCACGAAACAGCGTCTGATAGACATGGGGATTTCATTAGATATAATTTCACTTGGCGAACAACCCTTACATGTTGTTCCGCTGTTCGTTTTTCAGAGGTATTTAACAAAAAATTTGAAGTATTTTCTGGTAAAACAGTAAAAGAGTTTTTTTAGTTTGAAAGAGGAAATCCGCGTATTCTTAAAAAGTTTTTTAAGTTTTGGTTTACCCGGTGTGTGCGGTTTTTATGAAGACTACTTCATACCTCATTGGATGAATTATTCCTATTACCAAATCAATCGGAAGTCTGCCGTATCAGTGAAGTTTAAACCTAGAATAACAATGCCGGATAGGCTTTTAAATGTAAGAAAAATATTTTTTGGATAAAAGTTGATTTACCAAAGTTAACCCTATGAAATACTAGTGTTTTTGAAGGACTTGAAGTCTGGTGTTGTGATGGAAACGACCGACAAAGCCGTAAAAGATTTTGAAGAACATGATCAGCTTGCTTTTGCTTCTCTAATTGAGGGAGCACCAACTAAAGCCGTATTTCCCAAGGAAGATACGGAAGAAAATCACAATAAGTTTAGTGGATGTAGTGGAACGTCGCCTAAAGTAAAATTAAGCTTTTAACATTTTTTAGCAAAAAATTTCTTTCGATTTACTAAATTTGTAAAAATCAGGTTTTTTGTAAATAAAGATATTCACATAGGCTCCAGTTTTTGAAAGCGAAAGGGCCGTGTATGGGTCGCATAATCCGAGGATGGTCCAGAATGATTTCCAAGGCCGTCAGAAAGAAATAGCTTTAAGAGCTGGATCTCTAGAATCGATTCAAGATCGAGTTGCAAGGAGTGGTGTCACGAGCGTTATGCGCTCTTTAATCAACCCTTTCAAGCCTGAAGAGTTTAGCGGTACGTTATTTTCTAATGTCTTTTCAAGAACCTTTTGTTAAGTTAGTTTGTATATGGAAGTTAATGCTACTTCTTTTTCAAAAGAAACCGAGTGTTAGTAAAGGGAGTGAATCGTGGGATAGTCGGAAGAATATTGTAAAGTGGACAAGCGTACGTTTGACAACGGTCGTCTTTGGACACTTGCCTTTGAATCATATTCGGAGTTGCGCCTTGCTGTATTTAAATAAGCATTTTTTTCGTGCTTTAGTATTATTTTTTTTGCAGTTAGGATAAGTGCTAATCGAAGGCGGTGGATTCATGTATTTCCTGTTGACAAACTTGGCAGAGCAAAACTTTCCCATCATTACGTTGCCGGAAAAAGCATCGTACATGTGGAACAAATTGAAGAGCCGTCAGTCAATGGAAAAAATGCAGTTGGAGGGTTTGTTGACATAGCCACTCAGAAGCCTATAACTCCCCAGCACAGCCCGGTAGACTTATTTATAGCCAACAGGTAAAGCTGAATTTTGCGTCTTCGGCAGATCTGATATTATGAATTCTAATTCTTCTTAAGTTTGTTCAAATGAGTTTTTCTTGAAGTTCATATTCTTATAGAGTTCCTGGACAGGGCGCTGGTGGCAAAAAATTTGTTTGGGCGTGGGGGTCGACAGGGGAGGAAAAATGGGATCCAAATGTTGAAATTGGTATTGATTGGAAGTCGCTCGTACGGTCTGGCCTTCTTCCTTTGACAACGGATTTCTTTCCTGATGGGCGTAGCCTACAGATGGACTACGTAATCAAAGTAACTCTTACTCGTTTTTGCTTTCTGTTAGTGCTGTACTTGAAATTTAAGTCTTACAGTCAGTGCATGATAAAAATTCCTCTTACCATTTTATTAAATTTCAGGAACATCAGTTGCCAGTGGAGCCAGAAACAGTTCGAGAGTGGTTTTCTGAGAGTCGTAAAAACATCAGTGTGGAGGAATTACGCTCATTTGTTTTTGATCAGTTGATATGTCAACGTTTACAACGTGGCTTTCAAATTATTCTTTTGAAGAAGAAAATAATTCATTCAGCAATAGATGCATCTGTCAATTCAGAAATGGTATGCAAAGTTAGTATGAGTCGCTGAGGAAAAAGTTGTGAGCTAGATCCTGTTGCAGATACACACTCTTTTCAATATTAACAAATATTAAATTTTTAAGGACATTCATTTCTACAAGCCCAGAAATGCAAAAGAACGGTCTCGAGAATGTTTTCTGTCTTTTAGCAGTACTTATCACCATCTCTATCTAGAGGGCGACATCATTACTGTAGCACAGTATACACCGAAAACTGCTCAATTTGATGAACAGAGTCCAGACTTGGAAAGAAGAACATATGACTATTGCTTTCAAGTACCGGATATAAACGATTATGATTGCAATAGTGTTGTGTAAGTTAGTTCTTAAAATTTGTATTATGCTTACGGACTTCATGAAATACATGTGAC